TGCCGTGAGTCGCCGGCGACGGTGTAGGCTGCAGCCCCTGCTGCAGTGGGTTGCCATGGGCTACTGTGTGTAGCCAGCAGCCAGCGTGAGCGGCCAGCAGCCGCAGTGAGTGGCCGTCCAGAAGCCAGCGACTGATCTGCCTCGCCTGGGAAGAGCGCAATGATGGTGCCAACTTGGGCCAGTGAAGCAACGTCCTCCACAACTAGACTGAAGAACAAAAGGACAGCAACTTGTCTGTTCCCCTTCCCCCAATTCACCAGCCCTGTTCCCATCCCCCAACTCCCTAATTAAAAAAAAAAATCTTAAAAAAAAAATGTAAGTTAATACTCACTGATTCAATTTCTTTTGTGAATTTTGTGATGACATTCTTTTGTCTTTAAAATGCTTTTCACCTTAAAGTGTAGTCTAACATCACTAAAAATATATCAGCTTTCTTTTATTGTTTTATATATCCTTCTTCCATCCTTTTGCTTTCAACCTTTCTGTCTATTTTTTAGGTTAATCTCTCTCTTTTCTTTTTTAATTGGGGAACAGCGTGTTTTTCCAGGATCCATCAGCTCCAAGTCAAGCAGTTTCAATCTACTGGGTTATCGGAAAAGTCATGACGCATTTTTGCAATGAAAAACATAGACAAAAAAGTCATGACTTTTCTGACAACCCAATAGTTGTGGAGGGCACAGCTCAGTGGCCCATGCAGGGATCAAACCGGCAACCTTGGTGTTATGAGCTCTGTGCTCTAACCAACTGAGCTGACAGGACACCCCTAGGTTAATCTCTTGAAAATTGCATGTAACTATGTATTTTTTTTGTTATATATATATTTTAATAATCTCTATTTCCTAACTGATGAGCTTATACAATTTATATTTATTATGATTACTGATCTACTTGGATCTATTTTTACTGTCTTATTTTATGCTTTCTATTTGCCTTTTTAATTTTATTTTTTTAGGTTTTTTTTCTTTTCCTGCCTTCCTTTGAATTGATTTTTTTTTAAATTCCATTCATTTTATTCTGTGCTGGCTTGAGGTCATATATTTATTCCATATATATATATATATTTTTTTAGTGATTATCCTTAAATTTTTTTTTTTAAGATTTTATTGGGGAATTGGGAAAGGGGAAAAGCACTGGGGAATCAGGGAAAAGGGGAACAGACAAGTTGCTGTGCTTTTGTTCTTCAGTCTAGTTGTAGAGGACGTTGCTTCACTGGCCCATGTTGGTATTATCATTGGGCTCTTCCCGGATGAGGCAGATCAGTCGCTGACCTCTGGACGGCCGCTCACGGCGGCTCTTGGCAGCTCACACCGGCTGCCAGCCGCTCATGCTGGCTGCCGGCCACACACGGTAGCTTATGGCAGCCCACTGCAGCAGGGGCTGCAGCCTATGCCGTCACCGGCGACTCATGGCAGCCCAGCTCCAGGTCGAGCTGCTGTTCACCATCTTAGCTGTAGAGGGCAGTGTCACTGGCCCTCATGTGGGATCCGAACCGGGACCCTGCTGCTCGGAGCTGGCGTCCCAAGCCAACTCTTAACCAATGCGCCACTCGGCCAGCCCTGATTTTTTTTTTTTCTCACCACTTTTCCTTGCATTTCAAAGCCTTGGATCACTTTTCTTTTTCCTGAAATAGATCCCTTAGAATTTCCTTTAATGAAGGAATGTTGGTGGTAAATTCTCTATTTGGTTGTTTATCTAAAGTTGTTTTTGTTTTCACCTCATTCTCAAAAGATAATTTTTGCTGAGAATAGAATTTTAGAGTAGCAGTTTCCCTCCTTTCTCAACATATTAAAAGACTATACTGGGCCGGCCGAGTGGCGCAATGGTTAAGAACTCGCTTGGGATGCCAGAGGGCCCTGGTTCGGATCCCACATATGAGGGCCAGTGACACTGCCTTCCACAGCTAAGATGCTGAACGGGGCAGCTCAACCTGGAGCTGGGCCGCCGTGAGTCGCCGGTGACGGCGTAGGCTGCAGTCCCTGTGGCAGTGGGTTGCCATGGGCTACCGTATGTAGCCAGCAGCCAGCATGAGGGGCCAGCAGCCGCAGTGAACGGCCGTCCAGAAGCCGGCGACTGATCTGCCTCACCCGGGAAGAGCGCAATGATGGTGCCAACTTGGGCCAGTGAAGCAACATCCTCCACAACTAGATTGAAGAACAAAAGGACAGCAACTTGTCTGTTCCCCTTCCCCCAATTCCCCAGCCCTGTTCCCATCCCCCCAATTCCCCAATAAAAAAATCTTAAAAAAAAAAAAAGACTATACTGTATTCTGGCATCACTGTTGCTGTTGAAAAGTCAGCTGTCAGTCTAATTACTCTTCTTTTTAGGTGATTTGTCTTATTCTTCTGACTGCTTTTAAGATCATCTCATTTTCCTGGTGTTCTCTAGTTTCACAAAAGCTATAGTTGTGGATTTCTGTTTATTTAATTCGCTTGGGATTGTTGGGCTTTCTGGATTGGAATATTAGTGAATTGCAACATGGAAAAATCTCAACTGTTATTTCTTCAAATGCTGCTTCTATCCAATTTTCTCTGTTATCTCCATTCTTCATGCTGCTTAACCATTTTTTATGTTTTCTATGTCTTTGACTCAATGAACTTTTAGGGGCTCAGAGCTACTCACCCTAAGATTTGCTTCTGTGGTATGCAGATTGTTTTGAGCTAAGGGCAACTTTAGCTGCAGGCTCAGGAGACCCTGGGAGAATTTGGATTAGGGGCCTTTCCCATAATGGAAGATTACCAGAGATAACCTCTTTTGACCTATCTATAGGGCAGGGCAAACTTCTATTTATTAAATGTCTATTCTTCTTATCATCCTGCAAGGACCTGTTGAAGCCTTCAAGGCACTTTACCTCATCCCTTAGCTCAGAATGTTTTATATACCTCAGTCCCCCTTTTTATTTCTGAACCTCTTGTGCATGGGGGTGTGTGTGTGTGTGTCTCTGACTCTTTCATGTATGTGGGGTTCCCATACATATGTTTTTGTTTTTAGAAATTTTATTGGGAAACAGTGTGTTTTTCCAGGACCCATCAGCTCCAAGTCAAGTAGTTGTCTTCAATCTAGTTGTGGAGAGCTCAGCTCCTTGGCCCATGTGGGAATTGAACCAGCAACCTTGGTGTTATGAACCTGCTCTCTGATCACCTGAGCTAACTGGCCGCCCCCATACATATGTATTAAATTTGATTATTTTCTCTTGCTAGTCTGTCTCATGCCTATTTGATTATTAGACCAATTGAAAGAACCTTGAGGGTAGAGGAAAGTTTGTTTGTGCCCCACAAACTGTATTCTAATTAATTTATTCAGATCTATTTTCCAGTTCATTAATTCTCACATCATCTGTGTGTACTCTGTTTCACTTATTGCATGTTTTTTTTTTAGCTGAGCCATCCTGCCACCTGTTGGCAGCTCAGCGGCAGCTCAGCTCAGGCCGGGCATCGAACCGCTGTTGCTCAGAGCTCACACTCTTGAGCGAGCTCTTAACCAACTGAGCCACTCGGCTGGCCCTTCTCATTGCATTTTTAAAATCAATCTTTTCTTTGTATTTGTATAAGTTATACTTGGTCTTCAAATCTACTTGGTTATTGTTATGTTCTTATTCCTTTCTCATAGTTTCAAGCTTCTTTTTAGTTAAAACATATTAAATATGCTTTATATTCTCTGTGTGCTAATTCTACTATCTTTAGTTTTTGCAAGTCCAGTTTTGCCTGCTATTGTTTAGCAGGCTCTTATTCAGTGTCTTATTTTCCTTCTATGTTTATGACTTTTTGACTGAGTATATCCTCCTTGAAACTTTTCCTATGGAACTTCTTTGAGCCCTGGATGAGAGGTGTGTTCCTCCAGACAAGATGTATATTTTCCTCTGTCAGAACTGGGGGAGCTATCAACCAGGTACCACTTCAAAATAAATTATCTGTGTTAGGCTTTTGAACCACAGAGGTAGCCTTAATTCAAGCCTCAAATCCACATTACAGCAGGCTTGTTACAAATTCTCAGGGAAGATATTTTTCTCCCTTCTACCCAGCACCAAGGCCAAAGTAAGCAAGAGTCTGTGCTGCCCTTCTAAGTGGCAAATTCACTTTTTGTTTACCCTTAGCTTGAAAGTTGAGCTGTTTGAATCCCACCTTTATGTAGGTAGTCTCCAATGTCTCCTCACAGTAGGTGGGTCCAGGCTTTATCTCTGGTCTCCTCTATTGCACAAAGCACTCAAACGGATAAGTCAAATTCACCGGGGTTTGGTTTAGCACATGCTCTTAAGGCAAAAGCTGACTTTAAGCTGACATTTTCCCAGCAATTACAGGTTTCACTGTACCTTTATACTCAGAGAATTTCTTACTTTCTTGCCAACTTACTGCATTTGAAAAGATACTTTAAAAAAATTTTTTTTTAATTGGGGAGTTGGGGGAGGGGAACAGTGTTGGGGAATTGGAGAAGGGGACCAGCCAAGTTGTTGTTCTTCAGTCTTCGTTGTGGAGGGCGCCAGTCGCCATCTAGCTTCCCCTCGGCAGCTCGTGGCCTCTAAGCTCAAGGTGCTGTGTTCAGTCTTAGTTGCGGGTGGGTGTAGCCACTATCCCATGCGGGAGTCGAACCTGGCAGGCTTGTTAAGAGCGCACGCTCTATCCACTGAGCCATCTGGGCTGCAGCTCAGCTCAAGGTGCCTAGTTCAGTCTTAGTTGTGGGTGGGCATAGCAATCTTGTTACACCAGCTGAGCCATCCTGCCACCTGTTGGCAGCTCAGCAACAGCTCAGCTCGGGCGCAGCGTCACTGGCCCATATGGGAATCGAACCGGCAGCCCTGTTACTCAGAGCTCACGTTCTTAAGTCAACTCTTAACCAACTGAGCCACTTGGCCGGCCCGAAAAGATACTCTCTGTTAACATTTACTATTTATTATACTACCAGACATGAAGGTCTGGATGTTTTTCTAGACCATCCTTTCACTGAGGGGTGTCTACTGTGGTGGGACCGCTGAGGTCCCGTTACTATGGAGGTTTCAGTTCCAGCTGCCTCCCCTGATTGGGCACAAGACCTTGTCTTCCCTCGTGGGTGCAGCAACTAAAGCCCAAGGACCTGTGTTGTCAGTCCATGTTCATGAACACTTTTGGGGCAGCTGTAGCTTCAACACCCATTTGGCCACTGGGGATTATGGACAAACCCTGTAGATTATATCTTTTGGGGTCAACGTATGCATAGAAAATTAAAAACAGTTTCTAGGACTCTCAGTAGCTTCACCTTCATGTGGACTTCCACGTTGTGCTGCAGCTTCCCCAGAGTAGCTCTACTGGCACAGCTACAGCCAGGTTCCCACCTGTATGTTCCTTTTAACCAGGTGCTTGCCTGCTCTTTCCTGCATCTCTTAGGAAGCTGATGTCCCCCTTTGCAATGGTTCTGAACCGTTAGGGTCATGGAACTCTTTGAGAGTCTGCTGAAAGTTATGAACCTTTCTCCAAGAAAACTGAGTGTGTCAGCCAGAGTGCAGGGCACTGTCTCGGAGGGTTCCTCATCCTCTGCCTAGATCAAACATCTGCTGATCTATCTTCCTGGAGGTGGGCATGAGGGTCAGGCCTCAGCTGTGGTGGGCGTCTGCATCCTCAGGAGAGTACAGGATGCGCATACACACTTGGGACTAATCTCACTTCCTGCTCTGTGGTTTTGATAGATCCTCTCTCTATTTGACTATTTTCATATAATCAGATAATTGCGTTGCCAGGGGCCTACACAATGTAGGCCTAAGGGGAAGTTTTTGTTACTTCCTTCATATCGGGACCTGATTTCCTAACTGCAGTAAACAGCAGTTACTGGGGCCACTGTTGGCTTGACCCTGGTTTTGTTTTCAACCCCTACCTGAGTTTAGACCTATTTCAAGGAGTCTGAGTCTCTTTTGATTTGCCTGTCTGTTTAAGTCTTAGTCTTTTTGTGAGTCTCTGCATTTCTAATTTGGCCTTTTTCTTAACTTCTCTGAGCTAATTTCCATCTGTACAATGAGTGGACTAAACTGGATCAGACTTACTTAATTTAAACTGCGCTCCTCCCAGTACCTCAGGGGCTGGCAGGACCAGGGGAACGGGGTGTGGGGAGGGGCTCCTGCCCACGGTGTTGCTTCCACCAGAGCAGGTCTACTTTGTGCACCTTATTCACTGGATCTGGAAAGTTCCTCGGGGGATCCTTGATGTTTGTGTGTGACTCCAACCTGAGCAGGAGTCCTATCACTAGGCCTGCAAGTGGAGGCAGGGAGAGAAGGCATTCCTGTCTCACCCACCGATCCCCCTTTCCCCGGACTCCCTAACTCTGTTCCTAGGAAAGATGTTACCTGTTCCAGTTCCCGGAAGGATGTTGCCAACGATGATGAGAATGCTAGTGCTGCTGCTGCTGCTGCCGCTGAGTCAGGCTGCTCCCAAGGATGGAACCACGAGGTGATGGGACTCAGAGGGCAAGGCCAAGGCCCAGGACCAGGGAGAGTCTTGGAGAATCTGAGGGTGTGGTGAACCCCTCTGAGAGGCAGGAGACTAGGGTGTACGTTCCCTGACGTCTGTATCCCTCCCCACCCAGCTCACCCTCTGCCTTGTGCCTGTTAGAGTGCCTTACGCAAAGTGGGTATGCGGTGTGTTTGCTGGACTCATTTAGAGCCAGGAGCTCAGTTCCAGTGAGGTGTGAAGCACAGAGTAGAAGCTATGGGCCAGGGAAGAAGCTGCAGTCCTCTTATCAAGACCTTATAGTGGGAACTCCAAAGAAATAGAGCTCATTAACAAATCATTTCTATTTTACCTGAATACCTTTCTTGTGCCTATGCAGTGTGCATGGTGGGTTGGGTGGAGGACAGATACAGGAACAGCAGCAAGAGCTGGCAGCAGTGACAAAAGTTGCTGCAGCAGCTCCTGCCAGCTCTTTGGAGTCATCGGTCTGGATTGAGTTGGACTTTGTCCAGAACTGGGAGCAAATCTGGAGCTTTAAAGACTGACAAAGATACCCTGAGCAGATTGAAACTCCAGAACCAACATATTATAATATATGCCTTCAGCTTGGGGAGGGTGGAAGAGTATAGTTTGTGTTATGGAGTAAATCAGTTCTATATAAAACTGTGCAGTGCCACAGGGCTCAGCCAGAGACCTGCCCCTTGGTCCCAGCATCAAAGTAGAAGGGTTGCCACAATCCACGCTGTCCTGTCCCCCACTGCGCTGTTTCCCTTGGTTGCCAGCTCATGTCTACTAGGTGTGGCCTCATCTGGCCTCTCTGTAACTAGATGTCTTATGGGGGTTTTCACTTACCATCTAAGTTAAGAATCTGTAAACACAGAGTCTAAGGGAGTAAGGCTCTGCTTCTGAGGAGGCCAGCAGGGCCTCCTCCTCACAAGGTGTTTGGGAATGTGGGGAAGCAATTCCCTTTGGGTCTGGGGAGAATTCTGCCAGCAGCTTGGGGGTGGACAACTGGTAGGCTGGGCCCTCAGGGAGGCGCTCTGCAAGGTTGGTGCTCCCCTTCCTCCTCCAGGCTGGACCCTGAAGAGCAGCAACAGCCCCTACCCAACCCCTTCCAGCCAGGCCAGGAGCAGATCCGGTGAGTAGGCTGGGCTGGGGGCCTGAGGAAAGGCCTGCTGCTGCATGCAGACTGGCCACTCATGGGCTGATTTTCCACTCTCCTGTCAGACTTCTACAGAGCTACCTAAAGGGACTGGAGAAGATGGAAGAGGAGCCAGAGCACATGAGCCGGGAGCAGGGTAGGGGGCTGGGCTGATGGGGCCCGTGGATGGGAGGCTCAGGGAAGCCAGAGCTGGGACTGACTTCAGGCCGTCCTGTTGCCTCCTGCCTCCTCGCCGTCCCCGACGCCCCTTCTGATCCTATTTCTTTTCCTTAGTTCTCCTCTACCTCTTTGCCCTCCACGACTATGACCAGAGTGGACAACTGGATGGCTTGGAGCTATTGTCCATGTTGACAGCAGCTCTGACCCCTGGAGCTGCTGACTCTCCCCCGACCAACCCGGTAAGCCGTGCTGGATGGGGGCCCTTCGCTCATGAAGGGTGATCCTGCTCCTTGGGGCTTTGGTCTTTTTCATCATCATTCTTTTGGTGAATCCCCAAGAATGCTCAAAGCCTGCATGCCAGGGATGGAGGGGGGCGGTGGGAGTGGTGTTGGGAGGGTCAGGGCTCCTGGGGACATCTCTGGCCACTGTGCTTCCACAGGTGATCCTGGTAGTGGACAAAGTACTCGAGACCCAGGACCTGAATGGGGATGGGCTCATGACCCCTGCAGAGCTCATCAACTTCCCAGGAGAGGCCCCACAGCACACAGAGCACAAAGAGCCCCTGGAGCCACAAGATGTTGGGAGGCAGCCCCTTTTAGCTAAAAGCCCACCAAGACAAGAAGCACAGGAAGCCCTGGATCCCAAAGAAGAAGCTAGGGGACCGGTGGAGGCCAGAATGGAGTCCTTGGAGCCTGTACAGGAGGCTGAGGGACAAGCAGAGGCTGGAGAAGCGCCAGGCCCTGGAGGGGAGGCTGGGGGACAGGCAGAAGCCAGGGACACAGGAGAGAAAGCAGCAGAGTTTCCAGGAGAAACACTGGAGTCTAAGAATACCCCAAATCAGATTGAGGTTCATGCTATTCAACTGGAGAATGATGAGATATAAACTTTAAAGATACAGGTTTGTACCCCTAGAAGTCTCAGGGCCAGAATATAAGCTCCGAAGGGTGGGATGTGTATGTTGGGACAAGGACCACCTCTGTGTCCCCTTCTTGGCCCCAGTAGGTGGCAGGTCTTTCTGTGCAGCTCAGGGAAACCCTATGTTGAGGGACAGCTTGAGGACTCAGACAACCAATAAAGAACTGAATGAACTCACCCCCCTGGGCCATCTGTCTACTGGTCCAGCCTGGGGTGCAGAGGGCCCCAGGGACACAGAGGGCTGGGGACTGGACAGGACTCTTGGAGAAGCAGGGATTCAGCTTTCCAGTGTTCCCAGATGGCGCTGAGACATAGTAGAGTACAGCACCAGACAACCCGGGGAAGAAAGCTCAGCCCCTCTCTGGGGCCCAAACGCTCCCATTCCCCCTTCACCTGGTGTTCAGACACCCAGTGCCTCCCTGCAGCTCAGGGCAGACCCTCCCCGTCACTCTGTATCTGTCCCCCCAATCATATTAACAATAATTACCATTTATTGAGAGCCTCCTACACACCAGCATCATGCTGGGCATTTTATATATTGTCTGATTTTTATCCTCACAATAATTCTATGACCAGACAGAATTAGTTCCATTTGACAGATGAGGAAATTGATGAAGACTGAATTCAGTAATGTACCCAGGGTGACCCAGCTAATTAAGACGCAGGTTTGAAATCAGGTCTGTCTGACTCCAAAGCCCTTGCTCTTCATCACATTCTGTGGCCTCACTCACCCTGCCCCAACTCCCCTGTGCAAGCCAGCCAACTGTGATATGATCTCCCCCAAGGACAGCAGCACTCTGTATCTGGGGGTCACATTTGTGGCTGAGGCACCGCCTTAACTATAAGGCGGCTCCAAGGGTGGGGCTTTCCCGCTTTGGGGCAGTCACTGGGGAGGTATTTTGGGACTGCAAAGGCCCCACCAAACCACAGAGTAGGCTCCCGGCCTGCTGGCCTGTCAAGTTGGCTCAGCCTGGGCCACTCCTGAGGCCACAGGACTGGAATCTTGTGATAGCACAGGAGTCCAGAGGAGGTTTTCTCATGACTTGTGGTTATTTGGGAGGGTCCCTGGGATGCATGGAGTTAAGTTTCCTCCCCAGCCAGAATGGCTCCCCTGAGCTGGGCCTCCACCAGGGGCACAGCTGGTGGCAAGCCTGGGGGCACTTCTGCTGCTCTGGTCTAGGCAGCCCCTCCTCTGATCTTGGGCAGGAAAGTAAATGGGGGGAATGGAGAAAAAGGGCAAAAGACTGTAACATCAAAGCCTCCTGAAGCCCCAGCCAGAGCGGCTTGGACATCAAGGACAGATTGCCAGGAGGAAGCAGGCTCTAGGGAAGGAGATTTATTTGCTCTGCAGCTCTGCACTAGGAGATGCCAGGACACAGGCAGAGCCCTCCCGCAGCCTGCATCTGCCCAGGAGCAGAGCAGCCTGGATGCCAGGCTGCACAGAGGGGAGAAAGCCAGTGATGGTGTCCCCCAAGGAAGGGTGTAAGCCGGTGCCTCCTGCCACAGGGCACTCACGCGATGCCATCAAAGCCCTGCAGGCCACACTTCTTGCCGGCCACCTGGCAGCCAAACCTCAGTGCCTCCTGCATGCTCTTTCCTGGAGGGAGGAACAAGTAGCTGGATCAGCCTACTCTTCTGGGCAGGGCTGGGCCCCAGCCCTGTGCCTCCTGCTGATGTACTCACCCTGAGACAGGCTGAAGATGACTGAGGCGTTGAAAGTGTCTCCGGCCCCCAGAGTATCTACCACCCGGGGTGGCGGGAAAGCATCCGAGTGCAGCAGCCGTCCATCAGGGCCCAGGGCATCGGCACCCTCCTCAGCCCAGGCACAGATAAGCACAGCCCTGGAAGACGCTCTCCTCAGCTGGGTGTGAGCCCACCCCTGGCCTCCAGCTTCATCCCTCCTCCCCAGGGCAGAGCCCGGAGTCCAGGCTCACTCACTCCCCACACCTAAGGCCTCTTCCTGGCTTCTGCCAACTCACCCTTTCCTCACACGGTTGTACAGGCCCTTCAGGGCCTCCGCAGCTGACCGGAACCCAAAGTGCTTGGCCACATCTTTGCTGACAAACACCTGTGGACAGTGGAAGAGACGCTGACAGTCACCTTAACTCTATCCCCAGCTCAGTCACTCACTACCAGCAGCCTAGCAATGCCCCCATATTATAACCCTGCTCCTCCAACACGGCTGCCTAAATCCCCAACATAGCATCTTCATACTTGCTCAAGACATGCCAGAATACAGCCCTGTAAATTGTGACACACAAACCCTGGTCTGTTCTAAAATGAATTAATTGCCTTGCAATTGAAAACCCAAAGCGAGCCTTGAGCGCCATCTTGGGGTGAAATCTACCACTGCCAAGTTAAACTGCCAACTTTTCAGAAGCGTTTTTGTTTCTGTTTGGTTTGTTTTCCTCACACAACTATACCCTCTTGGTCTGGTTTCATCATCATAAAAACAAGGGTAGGGGCCCAGATGTTTCCTTAACACCAGCTACAGGTTAGACTTGCCAGAGAGTTCTGTTAAAAACAAAACAAAACACTTCAGCCCAGGCTCCACAACTACCTATCAAATAACAAACAAGGGTGGGGCTCAGGCATCCTCTCATTTTTTAATGTCTGGCCAAAGTTGAGGACCAACCAGCTTCAGCTATGATGACAGTGTCATCCAGATTCCATTTACATCAGCCCTGTGGAAATTTACCTTGTCCAAGTCCCCTTCCCACCCTCCCTCAGCCCCTAGTGGTTCTCACAACCTGCCACCCACCCCTGAGTTGGAGGACACCTCAAAAACTGTCCTATACCCCCATTTAACAGAGGAAAAGACTGAGGAGATGCTTCCATGCAGGCTTGCCCTGTAGCTGGCTGTCTTGACCCTGTCCAAGCCCTCTGGCCACCCGCATACCTATGCACACACTGGGGTACAGAAATTCTCCTTGGTCACTGCTGAGGCCTGCACAGGAGCCCAAAGCTGGGGTCCACCTCTTTGCTTTGTACCCCTCCTGCCAACACTACCAAGCCACGAGTAGCCATTCCAGGCATGGTAGGCAGGACAAGGGAATGCTCAGGCTCCTTTTAAAAACCAAATCAGCTGGATGTGGCAAGCAGAGGCTGCATGGGATGCTCACCACATCTCCATAGCCGAACAGCTGGAACAGTTCCTCCCGGGGCTTCTCCACCTCCACGGATACCTGGATATTCTGTCCTGGAGGCTGTCTGGCATTGTGCTGTTCTATCCGCTGCAACATCTTTACCTGCTCTGATGCGTTCCGGCCCTGGAACAGGGCAGGGCAGCTCAGGACCAGCTGGGCACTGCCCTGCTAATCTGGCTCATTCTTCTCTCCCTGCTGGAACTCTGGGGGAGTGGGGAGAGGGACCAGGGGAGGCTGGGCTGGGACCACATTCCCAGTCTCAAAATTCTAGAGCTGCCATGGACCTATTGTAGATGACCTCCCATTCCTGCCTCCCCAGAGGTAATGGGGTCAGGACTTCTGCAGCCAGGCTCCTGCCAGAGTCTGGAGGTGGTGGGCAGCCTGTAACACAGAGGGCATGGGACTTTGCCTGGAGCTGGCACCCTGCTTCTGGTGCCTCCATCCTGCTGTATAATCTTGAGTAAGTCACCCAATCTTTGTGGGCCTTAGTTTCCTACCTGAAAACACAAAGAACGATGGAGAGGGGATGAAGGGAGTTGGATTAATTGATTTCTAAGGTACTTTCTCATTCAAAGAAACCAAGAAGGAGGCAAAACAGGAGGAGGGGCTGGCAGCTTGAGGCCCTCAAAACACAGGTAGGGCAGGGCAAGGCTTGCCTCGATGTGGATCCACTTGAACCGGGTCAGATCAACTTTCTCAAAGTCCATAGCAGACACATCTGGCAGGTTCCTAAGTCACAAGATGGAAGGACAGAGAAGGGGCATGGTGAGGCTGGCCAGGGCCAGGATCTCCAACGGGCTCCTGGGGCCCCTATGCCTGGCACTGCCTGCAGCATGGCAGGAAGCTGGATCTACAGCCCAGTCTTCTGAGGCTCAGCTCCAGGACAGACCCTGTCCCAGGCTAAACTCACAACTACCCCTTGCCCCACTCGGCTCTATCCAGACAGGATTGGAGGTGGTTTGCTAGGGTTCCCCTTCCTGTGTTTGAGGTTGTAATAATATCTAAGAGCAAACTCAACAGCAGCATGTGTCAAGGGGTAAGCTCTGCGTGCCTTGGAGACCACCTCTCCCAGAATGCCCCAAGAGCATCAAGGGCTAGAATTCCCAGAATTCCCCTTGTCAGCAACACACACAGCTCCCAACACACAGTGCCTGTGGGAAACTACAGAGGTTATGGCTACTCTGCCTGGAGCTCCGGTGTGGTCCCACTCACTTCTGGCACCCCAGCGTTGACAGCACCACTTTGGCTGACTTGTGGTGGAGACACCAGAAGAATCTGCCTTGACCCTCTTTGGCCAGAGACCTACACACAGCTGATATCCTTCCCTGCCAATTCCGTAGCTGAATCCTTTGTCCACTTAACTAGCTGTGTGACCTGGGCCTTTCTGAGGCTGCTTCCCTATCGGTAAATGGGGCCCAAACCCCCAGCCTCACAGACCTGCTGCAGTTGGAGGCAGTATGTGTGGCTATGCCTGGACGGAGGCCAGTAGGCAATAAACATTTCCCCTCGGAGTTCCTCTCCCTCCCTTTCTGTGATCACCCATGTTGTGTCCTTGATCAGAGTCACTACAGATTGTTGCTTAATGGGCAGATGATTAGGATTTTGCCCAATGTGAAGGCTGCCACTAGCATGTATGTGCACCCACTCATTCTTTGGCACACACAGAGCCTAGGGACCACTGGCCATAAAGCTTGTCCTCAGATAACTGGCCCTCTCCCCCAGGCCCAGTGTTCATGCTGGGCAGTAGGGATGGCCTGAACTCCAGGGCAGCTGAGTCTGGGCCATCTCAGCCCTAACATAGTGCCTAGCACACACTAGGTTCTCAGTAAACTAAACCTCTGAGATTCTTCAGGGAGGACTCGGGAAGATGAGAAGGGTCTGTGTCCACAGTTCCTCTCCTCAGTAGATCAGACCCTAAAGGGATCCCCCTCCCCCTAAGTTAGCACCATATCAGATGGCCCTGATCTGCTGACACAGTGTTCCCCTTTTCTCTGTGTGGCATTTGGTCTGTCTTCATTATGCTGGGACCTTTGCGGGGGGCTCATCTTTTCTGAATGCCCAAACCCCAGCTCCTTGGTGCCATGCTGCAGGCTGACAATTCTGGGGACCGACCGTGGAAATCCCACTGGTCCCCCTTCAGGGTTTAAGATGGTTTGAATCACATCTCCCATCCCTCTATCCCCACACCCACACCCAGGCTCCTGATTGACTAATTATGGAGAAATCACATAAATTACATTTTATACAGGCCTGGCTGCCCATCCTTGATGTTGACCAAGGCCAAGTTGCCAGGCAGAGCAGAGCCAATCCCTCCCACCTCGCTTCTCCCCTAATTGAAAAGCATTAAGAAATCACAGAGCAGTTTGGCATAGGACAATTTCTGGTACAAAGAGAGAGGCCACAGACGATGGGCAATTGGGATGCCCGTGGTGGCGAGTGGGGGACTGATTGGTGGGCGTGGCAGGGAGCGGCCAGGGGGCCTTACGTGTCATAGAGCACAATGGTACGGGAGCCATTGGAGTTGTTGACGATGCAGCAAGAGCAAGGGGTCTCCCCTCTGCTCTGCCAGGCCACCTGAGACACATCCACGCCCCGTTGCCTGAAGTCAGCCACCAGGAAACTTGGGGTGGAGCCCGAGCCAAGGGAAGGGCAAGAAAACACAAATTAGAGTCTACAAGTGGCCTGGACCTTCCATTGGGGTAAGGAGGGGTTCTGGAGCATGTGGGTGAGAGCACCCCTCTTCTGAGAGAAGAGTCCTGTCCTGGGATTCAGTGATGGCGGCGGCAGCTTGCAAGGCGCAGACAGGTATACAAACCTGTAGGCATGTAGGATGGTGCGGCTACCACTGGCCTCGCTGATGATGACTGTGGAGATGGGGACAGAGCCCGTGGTCTGAGAGACCGTGTAGCGTAGGTCCACGGAATAGCGGCGGAGGTCATCCAGGACAAAACTGCTGGGCGGAGTAACCCAGGGAGGTGCAGTTCGACAAGGGCTTGGGGACTGGAGGGTAGCTGGCAGGGCCACTACGGACCCAGGGTGTAAGCAGAGGGGGCGAGGAGGGGACTGGAAATCACTGGTTGTCACAGGCTGTGCAAGGAGGTGGGAGAGGCAGGAATGCATAAGCTGGAGCTCAGTGAGAAAAATCCTAAGGGACATTCTTTTAGGTCCTGACTGAAGCAAACTCTAATCCTGACACTGGCCTTCAGTTTGATTCAAGCTGGAACAGATTTTCTCGCATTCATAAAGCTAACTCGGGTAGATTTGGGGCCTAGAACATGTGCCTTGTTTGAAACAAGTAGGCGAGGGCACTGTGGCCTGTTTCATGCAAAGCCCAGGCAGAATTAATAATTACCAAGATGAATAAACAAGGGAAAAAAACCAAAAAAATAATTAGTTACCAAGATGATACTTTGCACCTCAGCTGCCCTCTGCACATCAGCCCCATGGCCCTCTTCTCTCTGAAGTCCCTTCCAGTCCTAAAACATGAGTCCTCTCATTCTACACTTGTCTCATGATGACCAGCCAGGAAGTGGTGCTGCCTTGGCGGGCCTGCTCACTATCCTCTCCCGGGCATTGATGCTCCCAGTTCCTCATGCCCCTCAGTGTGGGCATGGTCCAGGACTCTTGCCCAGAATCCCCTCCAATCATAGCGAGCCTGGGGGCAGCCCCTCAGGAAAACTACACTAGCAGGAGAACAAGGAAGCCAGGTCCAACCCTCCTGGCCATCTCTGGAAATGCAGTGTCCTGTGCCCAAGAGTTGGCACTTATGCCAGTCGTCCAGCCATCATCCTGGCTTTTCTCACTATGGCTGGACGCCACTTATGGCAACACCAAAGCTAGACAATACAGACTTGTATAAAAGTAAAAAGACAATAATGCTGGGGAAAATAGAAGGCAGCAGGAAAAGAGGAAGACCAAACATGAGATGGACTGACTCCATAAAGAAGCCATAGGCTGCATCTAGAGGAGCTGAGCAGGGCTGTTGGGGATGGGATGCTGGGGACATCACTCATTGCCAGGAGTCGAGGCCAACTCAATGGCGTGTCACACACACCCAAGTCGGGATATCAGTCCTTGTCTTATACTTCAAGGATCCTTTAAACAGTAGGTTTCCCACAGCAGGGAAAATATGGTTTGATTTGCCAAATAACTTTCTGTACCCATAGTACCTGGCACATGGTAGGTGCTCATTAAATGTTTGTCGAACACAAGGGGAGAATTTGAAATGGCCCCCCTATCAGCATGACTGCTATTATACATAAAGATGGGTCCACTACCTTAAGCAAGAGCCAGTCTTGCTTCTAGCTGGGAGGGAAGCAGTTGCTGGAAAGGGCTAACAAGAGGCCAGCTGTTGACTCCAGGTCCCTCTGTTCCATCTCACAGGGCAAGCTCTCCCCCCGATTTGCTTTGTGCCAGTTCATCAAGGAAGGGAATCTGGCTGTGGCTCAGGGGGCAGGGTTCTGGCAGCAGCCCACCCCTCACCCCCCCAAATCAGGGTTCAAAGGGCTTTGCTTTATAGGCCAGCAACCTGGCAGCCTACCCCAGTGCCCACAGTGGGCAAAGTGTGAGCCTCACCTCCTGATAAGCTTGCGGAATTGGCAGTGCCAGGGGTCAAAGGGATCTTGGGTCCCTGCAGTAGCCAACATGGAATAAGTGTGTAGGCCGCTTATAGGCTGCAGCCTCACAGCCGATGAGCTGGGAGGCATGGGTCTGGGCCCAGCTTGAGCACGTGGCTCCGGAGTGTCCTTGGGCAGGGTGCTCTTGCTGCTTCAGGGAACAACCGGGACATGAGCACTGGCCCTGCCCTCTCAACTGGGAAAGAAACTGCAGGCCTGGACCCTCGGACCATGGACGGTGGACAACTCTGAAGGAGGGTGGGTATAGCATGTGCCTAACTGCCTTCTGCCTCGAGCACAGCTAGGATAAAGGACTTAAGAAAGGCAAAGTCACATCCACCGCAGAGTCCGTTGGAAGCAAAGAAGAAGAAAGTGGGGAAGCTGAAGTAGGCTCCAGGGAGTGGCCAAGGAAACAGGCTGTGGAAATGAAACTTTTAAAAGGAGCGGTGTTAACACCGAGCAGCAGATAAACCACACCAGGGAGGGTCTGGGATGCTGGTACTCCTCTCTGCCTCCTCCCACCCATTCCTGGAGGCCACACACCATCTCTTATAGCCCACCACCCAGGGTTAAGACTTCCTTCTCCCCCCACTCTGAAGGCAGGTCTCCCCTGCTCCCTCCTCAACTCACTCAGCAACATGGCCCGGGGCCAGCGAGCCCATGAAGGCGCAGGGGGCTCCAAGCAGGGAGAGAATGGTGCAGGAGTTAGACGCATTGCCGCCACGCTGCCATCTCTGGGACAAGCACCTGCAAAACACAAGGAGGGTCCCTGCAACGCCAGCAGGCTGATCTGGAAATAAGCAGGGCTGATCACAGTGCCCTGGGTAGGGACCACAGAATGTAAACGCTGGGAGAACTCCTTCAGAAAGCATCCAGACCAGTCTTCCCATTTTCCAGATGGGCAGCCTGAGGCTCAGTGAAGGACAGTGGCTTGGCTGAGGACCAGGTCTGTCTCCCCAACCCCGACTACATTCAAGTGCACAGCAATTAATTTCTATCTTCCACCTACTCTTACGACATTAGGAAACTATTCACTCAGGTCCATCACAACCTGAGGGTTCCACTCCCTCTGGGTTACCTACCGCCTGTTACAATGGCCCACCTCCCACAGGCACAGCTGGTGTACCTTCAGCCTTCTCTTGAGAGCTGGATAACTACAAGTGCTGCTTCCCAAAGGTGTCCAATCTACTATTTGTTCCTGTCTTAGAAGAGCTGCTTCAATAATAACTCAGGTTAAAATGAGTAAGACAGGAATCAAACCCGGACATTGTCATCATGTAAGAAGTGAGGGTTGGGGAGAGCTAACTTTTACAATATCAAAAGTTTAAAAAGATTGGGTGAAGACCAGTTTTTCTCCATCTTTTGTTTGTTTGTTTCCTTTTTTTCAGCTTTATTGAAATATAATTGAAATATAACATTCTGTAAGTTTAAGATGCACGACATTATGATTTTATATACATCTATATTGCAAAATGACTACAATAAGGTTAGTTGACACATCCATAACATCACATAGTTACCTTTCTTTTCTTTAGTTTTTCTCCATCTTTACTGAAAGTCTAACAAGAGAAAACTCACCTGTATGACTTCATTGTCATCATCAACAATAAAAATGATAACTTATGCATACATATCAAGCACTTTAATGATTTCTCATTTGTGCTCTAATAATACTGTGAGGTAAACAGTACAAGCTGTTATTTCTATTCTCCCAGTTCTAAAAAGAATAATACCTTTGGCTGCTTACAATATGAGGGATAAGTACTGAAGAGCCATTAATTAAGGAAAATAAATGAAGCAGAATTTTTAGACTAAGGCATATTTGGACACAAAACATAACCCTGAACTTCCCTTCAGCCTTAGGAAAGGGGACCATAATCTCATTAGAAAGAAGAATACTAATTTGTAAAGGGTCAAACATTTCTCAAGCTATGAGCTTTAGAGAAATTTTCATGCAGAGAGGAGCCTAGAGGGATTTGACTCGCTCAAGGTCACACCAGTCGTTAATGACAAAGCTATAATACTGTCAGAACCCAGGTTTCCTGACTCTCAAACCACTGTGGTGTACTCTGTATTTCTGAATGGAGAGTAGTGAGTCCCCAGCTTGGATGAAGTTTCAAAGAAAGGGTACACAATTTTACTCTGTGGAAACCCTTCAAAATCACACTGATTCCCAACTTCCTGGGCAGAAAGGCTCTAATGAGCATGAGGATACTCTCTGGAAGGCTCTTCTCAGCCTGGACTCAGGGGTCTGGCCAAGTACCAAGTGGCAGCTCCTTAGAGTCCCCAGCTGCCTGTGGAGCACAGAAAGCCTGGGACAAGTGGGGCTGAGATGGCTGAGAAGGACTGAGTCCCCACTCAGCCTTGCTCATCTGGGCTGGGTGGGATGGGAGCACAGGGGAGAGGCCCTATGGACAACCAAAGCGCTCTGCAGAGGCGCAGAGCCATGGGTCTGGGGGAGGGGAAAGTCCACCATGAAGGGCAGCAGTACTGAGAACATGGGAACGGTCTCTTTAGAGAGGCATCTCACTTAGTGCCCACCTTCAGAACCAGCCCGAGTCAGGGTGGGAGCTAGCAGGATCTCCTTAGCCAAGCCTCCTGACATAAACTCAGAGGAATGGGGCTGCAGCTCTAGTCGAAAGAGGCACGCCTAACAAAAAATAAAAAGAGGCACTCTGGGTCTTCCCCAGGCCCTCCACAGTCCCCGGAGGACTGGCGGCCCTGAAATGTAGACTGTTCTTCTGAGAGGACGCCTAGCTCCGCACTGTGCAACGTGTGCTGGGGCTGGCCTGACCTTGGCAGGTAGGCACACCCTTGTGCCTCTCCCCTACCGCCCCTGCAGCCCTGGCAAGAGGCTCTAACCTCTGGCAAACAAGGCAGCCAAAGCAAAGGGTCAGCTCCATGAGAAGGGCAGCAGCAATGGGACAGGGAGCACAAGAGACAACACGAGGCTGGAGCATTAAGCTCGGAGTTAGGAGGCTTGGGATGTGATTACTGCTCTGCCACTCGTTAACCACCTGGCCTTACAAAAATCAATGTCTCCACATTTTCCTCATCTATAAAGAAAGGATCCGATTGATCTTTACACACCTCCCCATGGGTGCTGTGAGAAAGTACGTGGTAACACATGTGAACGCGCTGGGTGGACCCAAGCCTGAGGAATGCCCGGTCTCTCCCCTCAATTAGCTTCATGGCTATCAGCGCTGTAACGTCTTGCTGAGCTCAGTCTTGAACTGGCCTTTTATGCAGAATAGCTAACGAGCAAGTCTTCTCAGTATTCTGAGCACTGGACTGCACCAAGAGAAAAAGGCCCGTATTTCACCCACAGAGATACCGTCTTGGGATTACAGTGTAACAGTGTGGTTCTTATCAAGAGTAAGAACCAACAAATGACTCTTCATCTTCTACCAGACAACTGAGAAGAATGTTTCCACTATGTTGCCCACTGACTTTCGTAAAAAGGACTTCTGGTAAACTCCTTTTGGAATGTAGCACCAGGGAAAAGTCTGTGGACACCAGCTCTGTCCATAACCCATAGCATCTCCAAAGTTGCCTCCAGTGCCAGCAGGCCCTGGAGCGATGCAGTGAAGCTCAATACCGTGGCTTTAAATGTTCTTGAACAATCTCAACTATACATACTTCTTATTGTAGGCTAACTCAATTTTTTTAATAGATGAGATACATATGTAGTAAATAAATTAGAATAAATGCTGGTGAGAGGCAAGTGCATAGGTCATGTTGTTAAAAAAAAATTGGTCCTACACTGTACTAACTGCATGCCCTTGGATAAATCACTTCGTTTCTCAAGAGTGTCTACTTGGGTATGGGTAAAATGGGGATAATCATATTTGACACAGTCCAGAGATGAAATGAGAATTGGCGAACACAATGCTATCTGAAGTCTGGGTCTTATTACTAAAGGCCTCACTTCTTTCCCCAGGTTCCGGGCAGAGGGCACGGGCCCCCAAGGTTGGACTCTCACCGCCTTAATGCGGGGCCCCTGGCTCCGCAGCCCTGTAGTCTTGGCTGCCAGGCACAATCGCGGGGCTGCAGCAGGCCCTGGGTCTCCGAGGGGCCCGGCTGCCCCTACCTGCTGTCCGTGTCCTCCTCCGGGTACTTGTCCACCACATTGATAATGTCCAGCACCACCAGCCCCACGCACAGGATCTGCTTCTCTTCCATGAGGCCGTTCCTGGAGCCTTCTGCCCGCCTGGCTGCAGGGGTTCCTCCCAGGCTGGCTTTTATCCCGTAGGATTGTGTTCTCGCTCCCCAGGGCTGCCTTGGTTCCTCCTCCACGTCTCGAGCTCCTCCTCCAGGAAGCCTCCAGCAGCGGCGTGCAGAAGAACCCTGCTTCCCACGTCCACCGATCCAAGCAGACGTGGTAGCGCAGACCCCGAGGCCTTGGTCACCGGCCTCGCCTTAACAGGTTGTGTAGCCCAGCAGATGGCAACGCCTCCTGCTTCTCGGCCTCAGCTTCCTCACTTGTCAGATGGAGCTAAAGCACAGCTAGGCAATTTCATGAATGCAAAGAGAAAGTGTAGTAGACAGGCGCCCGTAGCCCGCCCTCTCCTGCGCGGGTGGCTCCCACTTCCTAGACCCACGGGGTTAAGTCGGCTCGCAGCTGCTACCAATCCCTGCAAGCCCGAGCAGTGCCTCGCGCGCTCGCTGCTGATCGGAGGTGCCCAGAGGCCCCGCCTCCCCCGCTGGCAAGTAGGGCGGCCGTGGTCACGTGACGGGAGACAGCGTCCAGCGACCCCTGGCGGACACCCGGCGGGACTGGCGGGACCCGGAGGAGGGTCTCACCCGGGTCCAGTGGGGCCCGCTTGTCCCCAGCAAGTGCCGGCAGGGCCTCCTGTCGCAGAGCGGAGGGAGCGAGCCGGGTGCGGAACCCGGGGCTCCCCCATCCTGTCCCCTGTGTACTCCGGTCTACCACACCTGAACATACTGAAACAGACGGTGTGTTTTGTTTTGTTTTTTATAAAAACCAAGTGTCTTTATTCCTGAATAGTTTAGTATGGCGGTGGGGTCGAAACACCCTCGGAAGAGCCCTGAAACCCAGGGAATCAGCCTAGAGGCCAGTTGGGGGAGTAAAGCGTGCCAGGATCGGCTCCTCCACAGTCCGAGTCCTGCAGGGGACAGGGATCAGGCCAAAAGTCTGGACGAAGGGCTCCGGAGACCCCAAGCCGACGCGCTCCGTTCGTGGGGAGGAGGATGCTCTGGGCGCCTGTGCCGCGGCGGGTCCTTAGACGGCGACTCGCCCGAGGCTGGGGTGCCCGGGACCGCCGCCCCGCTGGCTCTTTGGCCGGCGTAGACACTTCGGGCGGGTCGGCCCGGCCCCGTCTACTACTGTTCTAGTTCCAGGTCCCCGTAAAGCAGGGCCCCGCTGAAGATGGTGAGTGGCTCCTCCGAATGCGCCAGCTGCCCCATGACCAGGTCGATGCAGACCGTGTCCCCAGCCTGCAGCGGCAGGATGAGGCTGAAGACGCCCAGGGCGCCAGGGCTGGGCTGACTCTCGGCCACCGGCTTATTCTCCAGGCCCTCAGGCTCGTAGCCACCGGAGTCTATGCGGGCCACGCCCAGGTTGGAGCGGGACAGCACAGCCTCCACTTTCTCGTGCCGGTGCCCAGTCAGCACCGCGCTCAGCAAATAGCGGCCGGGCAGTGGCGCTGTGAACACGCCTGGGGACAAGGATGGCAGTCAGTTGGAGAGACAGGTGGCAGAGGCCCTGAATGCTTCCAGACCCAGAACTCCTGGACTAGGGAGGGACCTGCTGGGTCTTTTCACCTCTCTTCCACCCGACTGTAAGCTCCACGAGGGCAGGGGGTTTTGCATTCGGTTCACTACCGCATCCCCAGCACTCAAAACAGTGGCCTGGGCAAGAGCTGGCCCCCAGTAAAGAGCTGTTGAACCAATGGCTCCTCCCCCTCCCCACCCCAGCGCTCAGCCCAAGCTGTGGTAAGAACGAATAAATGAAGGAAAGAATAAGGCTCTCCCCAAACCAGAGCATGAAGAGGTTCACCTTGTCTGAAGGGGCAAGAATGAGAACATGTCACTGCATAGCCTCCCCAGCGCCCAGCCAGCCCAATCCCAGGCTTACCGGTCTCTGGATCATAGTAGTCCCCATCGTTGAGCAGGACTCTGTCAAAGGGTACTGTGCCTGGTTCAGACCTGGGCAAACTCAGGGCAGCTGAAAACGCCACCCGGGGCACAGGGGCTGCTGGTGCCCCCTCCACTCCTGAGTGGGGTCGGGTGGGTGTCAGAGTAGATGCTCAGTGCAGAGCTGCCTAGCCCCCTTCCCCTCCTGGGTCTCACTCCCTCAAGACTGCCTGAGGCCTTCCGTCCTCCAACCCCTAGTTCAGTTCCCCTCCCCCCTGCATCACATGAGAACTTACCCTGTTCACCTTGGGGACCTGTGGGAAGAGGAAAGGGAGCAGTGAGAAGAAGTAGGGCAGGTCTCGCTAAGTCACTTGGCAAACATCTGCTGAGTCTGTCCTGTCGTACTAGTTGCTATGCAGACTTCAAAGCAGGAACGGGGTACTAAGAAAAGGAGGGATAGGTCCACTCTGTTCAACTGCTAGGCCATAACCCTTTAGCCTCCAGCCTTTCACACTCGACACAGGCCTTGTAGGCGCAACCTAGGTCTTCAGTACAGCAGTGAGGCCACCATATCCCATTAGCCAACACAGTGACTGTCCCAGCTCCTAGTCATTTTCCTAGTCACTATCAGCCATCTAGAACTCCCAATTCCTTGCCCCTTTCCCCCTTCCCTGTTAAGTTCAGAGTAGACTGTCAAGCCTGGGGCTACCCAGGGGGTGGTAACCTGGCTGCAGCAAGAATCTCAGCCCACGTACCTGGTGGTCCAATGGGCCCCTTTTGTCCATCCTTGCCAGGAAGTCCTGGAGGTCCAGCAGGGCCTGGGGGTCCCTGTACTCCAGGAGGCCCTGGGGGCCCAGCCTCACCTTCAGGCCCTACAGTGACAAACATAAGTTGAAGGAGGGCCATATGAGCAATTCCCAAAGGACAAAGAGGGTGGTGGCTCCATGGACAAGCTGATGGGACCCCTTACTGCCCATGCTGATACCTTGCTGGCAAAGCAGTACCCCACCTCCACCCACAGGCCTGTCTGAGCTGCCAGAAGAGGGCTGGGAGCTGGGACCTTGGAAAATCTCTTGTGGATAAAACAACCCTGGGACAGTGGTGGGCCTGCAATTTTTGCTGGGTAGAGCAAGGAGAAAGTAGATGAGGTTAAGACAGCTGTTGTGGGGGCTGGGGAAGGACTTGAAAGGGATACCCCCACCACCCCGGGTCTCCTCTTGCCCCCTCACCAGTGAGATCCTTCAGGCTGAGCTTGTGAAGTTGGTCCTCCAGGAGTAGCAGGGAGCTGTTCAGGGCACTGAGCCGCCTGCCCAGGCCCGCCTGCCCCCCCAGCAGCTTCTCCAGCAGTGCTGCCTGTGTCTGGCTAGTGCTGTTGGTTTCCCGTAGCCCGGCCCAGAGCCCAGCCACATGTCTGGAAAGGCCCTCGCGTAGGCCCTGTAGTCCCCCAGCCACTGTGTCCAGCCGCTCACAGACTCCCTCAAGACGGCCCAATCGCCCCTCTAGGCTGGGGCACTGGCCAGCCTGTGCCTGTCCCTCTTCCAGGCTTCGGAAGCGCTCTTCACTCTCCGTAACATGCTCTGTGGCCTCCTGCTGCAGCCTGTTAATCTCAGAGATGATGCGGTCTTTGGTGGCTCCCAGGTCAGCCAGATCAGCTCCCTGGCCCTCCACGGTAGTCTGGAGCTCATGCAATGAGTCATTGAGGGAGCTGAAGGTGAGAATAACCTCGGAGAGCTCTCCTTGCAGGGCCTGTAGGGCTGAGCCTGAGCTGCCCCCAAACACACTGAAGCCATCCAGAGGCCCACGGCTTGGCCCCCCAACACCCGGGCCGGCCCCAGGGCCCCGTGGTGGTAGCAGGGGGCAAGAGCAGCGCTCCACACCATCCCGAAGACGGCCCAGTTCCTCTTGGACGCCACCGCAGGCCCCACAGCCCTCATCCCCACGGGCCTGCAGCAGACCCTCCAGCTGGCCCAGACGTGCAGCTGTGAGATTCAGCTGAAGTGTGAACTCCGCGGCTATCTCATCCTGAGCATCGACACGACCCTGGAGCTGGCCCACAACCCCTTGCAGTCCCTCCAGTGTGGCCTGCCGGGCCTCCCCAGCTGCTCCTACCTTGTGCAGGCCCGAGCCCACCAACCGCAGCTGCGCCTCACTGTCTAGCACCCTGCGCTCCAAGTCACTGAGGATCTTGCTGACCTGGGAGTCCTGCTCCCCTGGAGCCCCAGAGCAGAGCTGCCCACATGCCTGCACAGCCCCTTCCACCTGCTCTTCCAGCAGGTCTAGCCGCCCACCCAGCTCCCCACTCACGTTGGCCAGCAGCCCCTCCAGCTTCTCTAGTCGGCCCCGGGCAGCAGGCAACCAATGGCCCAGTCCCCCAGGATGCCCAGGCCAGCCCTCTTCCTGCTCCTCCGAAGGACCCAGGGTGGAGTTGAATCGGTCCTCCAGGCGAGAGAGGCGGGATGCTAAACTGGTGTAGCCTGGGGGGTGACCCCCATGCCCTGCCGCTCCTTCCAGCTCAGTGCCGCGACGCCCGCTCAACACTGTCACCGAGCCAGCCACAACCTCCAGCCTCCGCTCCAACTCTGCCAGTCGCCGGCCCAGCTCCGGTGGGCAGCATTCCTGAGGTGGCCTACGGCCCAGGATCTGCCCTGTGAGCTGCCGCTGCCCCTCCTCCACAGAGGCCAGAAGTTTCTCCAGTGCTCGAAGCCGCTCCCTGTCCTCTTGCTGCTGCCGGCGGAAGCCATCCAGCCCTGACAAGCACACAGAGCAGGACTCCTGCAGCCGCTGCTCCAGCTCCCGCAGCAGATCCTCACTGTGGCCAGGAGGGGCCGGGGCTGGGTCCAGGACCCTGCTGCCACTGCCACCACCACCACTACCGTGATGGTTGTTGAGATGACCCAGCTCCTGGTCATGGGTGGAGACGCGGTTGTCCAGGAGCTGCAGCTGCTGCTGGATCTCATGGAGGGTTTCATGCACACCAGGGCGGGCAGCTGCATCTGCTGGCTGCTGCCTCCCATTAAAGGCCGTCTCCACAGCCCTCTGGACATCTTCAGCCAGGCGCCCACTCAGTCCCTGCAGGACACCCCGAAGGCCCTGCAGTTCCTTTGTCAGGCTCTGTACCTGCTCCTCCAGCTGCTGCACCTTCTCTGACTCCCCAGGACCTGGCAGAGAAGGGAAGGCATAAGGCAGTGGGGCCGGACCTCAGAGCTCAGTGCCTACCTCCTAGGTCCAGCTCCCCAGCTCCAACAGGAGGTCAGAGGTCCTAGCTGATTCAGCCACCCCTTTGCTGGATGATTTGGGCAAGAAGGAAACTCCCATTCACTACATGCCTCTAGGACAAATCTTTCCCTCTTACAACAGCTCCATTGGGCAGCTATCATTAGCTCTTCCCATTTTGTAGAATGAGAAACCAAGGACCAGAGAGATTAAGTAATTGGGCTGTGGATTACAAGTGTAATGAATGGCAGAGGCAAGCTTCAAACCCAAGTCATCCACCTGACCACCGAGCCCATGTCCTTCCCACTGTCCAGAGGGCCTCTTAACCCTATGGAATCTGTTTCCTCATCTGTGAAATAGGCATG